GATTCTATGTATGTTGTATTTGTTTTATTTGACCATTCCAGAAGTTCCACCTTCTTCATCATTTGAGAATTGTGTGCTCTGATTGGCTGTTGCATGCAGGAAGCAGGAAGTAGTTTTCTTGTACAGATTTTACCCTCTAACCTGTGGTCAAGTTCCACTGCTGTTTACTGGCCGTTGATTTTAAACCGTTGTTGTTTGAAATATTTTTTCAGCTACAGATATTATTTCTTAACAGTTCTGTCTTGGCCCTAATGTGGTATTATAATGTTCATGGCTGGTTTGTTTTAGCTTTTTTTTTTAAATGTACTGAATGAGCCTGTAGCCTATTTGTGTGTGATTTTTGCATATGAGAGAAAAGGATTGTTGTTTCTCTCTTGTTAATGCAACACTCTATAAGGTTGAATGGGTTACCTCTACCTCTACAATTATTTAAATCATCTGGTTTTTAAAACATTTTTTATCACAGACATGCAATACAAATGAAATCCACCCACTGATATGTTGGAGTCAGTTAATTTTCTCCAAGCAGTTTCTTTGAGCAGTGCTGTAACACTAAAATACATGTTTTATTCATCTATTAGTTGAGGTGCATTGCATGTTTTAAACCTGTCTGTCCGTTTGAATCATACTGGGCCATTTTAATGTTTATTTGAAGAAAACATCACCTGAATGAATGGACTAACTCTGAGTAGTAGAATAGTTAAAAGGAAAAGTGGTTATCACTACTTAACATCAGACTGGTGTTAGTTAAAAGGAAAAGTGTTTATCACTACTTAACATCAGACTGGTGTTAGTTAAAAGGAAAAGTGTTTATCACTGCTTAACATCAGACTGGTGTTAGTTAAAAGGAAAAGTGTTTATCACTACTTAACATCAGACTGGTGTTAGTTAAAAGGAAAAGTGTTTATCACTACTTAACATCAGACTGGTGTTAGTTAAAAGGAAACGTGTCCCAAACGGCACCCTGGGGCCTATACAGGGCCCTGGTCACAGGTAGTGCTCTATGTAGGCTATAGGTCGCCGTTTGGGATGTAGCCTTTGTCACTACATGACATGAGATTGGTGTTACACTACTACCGTGTGCAAAGTTTCTTTAAACGGCCAACAGAGAATGAGATCTATGGTTTGTTTGTTATTCTGTCTTGTGAACTATGCGATGCTACCCATTTTTTTCCATCGGGTTTGTATACTTACTCAAACCAACCACTCCATTTTGATTGTTTTCTGTTATTTCAACATGTATGCCGTATGAAAAATGAAATTAAACGTTTTATTCTCTTGTTTTTAAATCCTTTTGTTTTCTTTATTTGCACATGATAGGATAATTCATGGCTTATTGTTGTACAGGCCTATGGTTAAGGTAAACAATATATAGTATGTTGGTTGGTGCATTCTAATTAAGCAATAAGGCCCGAGGACGTGTGGGATACGGTCAATATACCAAGGCTCTTCTTAGACGCAACGCGGAGTGCCTGGATAGCCGTGGTATATTGGCCATATACCACAACCCCCCCGAGGTGCCTTATTGCTATTTTAAACTGGTTACCAACGTAATTAGAGTAGTAGAAACACATGTTTTTGTCATACCCATGGTATACGGTCTGATATACCACGGCTGTCAGCCAATCAGCATTCAGGGCTCGAACCACCCAGTTTATAGTAACAGGTCTCTCAGATCACAACATGACCCTTATTGTTAGAAAACTCACCAAAAAACATATTGGGTATTTAAATACCAGGAAACCCTCTGGGCTGGCTATCCCCAGAAAGGATATGGAGAAGTTAGAAACTGACCTGAAAGCACTTAATTGGGACAATATTCTGGAACTACATGAGACAAATCAATGTTGTGATTAAATTAAATCCACTATTGGACAAGTTGTAGACGAGTTTCTCAGAAAACTGAGCAGTAATCAAAGAAAAACGCAGTTACGTGGCTAGACAATTCTCTTTTTCAACTCCTGAAACAACGAGATGCTGCATTGAAAAACGTTCCTAAAAAGTCGCAGGAGTACTGATATGCAAATATATAAGGGACTAAGAAACTGTGGTAAAAGGACTGTGTGCTGCAAAAGCAAAACGTTGTGACAGTTTTAACAGGAAATAGTGCAATAATATGGAAACAAATACATTTCCTGATAAATCCACGAGCGCAATTAAAACAAAAAAGTGACTGTTGTAAAAGTGGTTGGGGGGGGGGGGAGTGTTGTCTGATCAAGGACAGATAGCAAATTAATAGGGGTGTAACGATCCATCTACTACATCGATGTATCGATTTATATTCCTATGATCCAACTACATCGATCTGTGCTCGGCGAGTTGGCCTTTTGGACAACATATATCAATCTAACATCGTTTTAAAATGTAATAAATCGATTGTATCGATACTAGGAAATAACCCATTGGATTTAAGCACGTCAGACTTTATATGGATGTTTTTTCTTAGCACTTTTAATGATAAAGGCTTTAAACATTACTCGATTCAGTCTGCCTATCCGTGACGTCATCGCCCCGCGCCAGCAGCAGCGCAAAGGCGCAAAGACAACAAAACATAGCATGGCGGACGACAGAGGAGAAGCCGACGAGCGAGAAATTATCAAGCCACCATTGCGGTCCTTACAAGAAACAGGAATCTAGGAAACTTCACCTGCACTGTCCAGTATCCAGGTATTTATTTCAGTCACACTGGTTGAATTTTTGGCTAAAAGGTTACTGAATCGATTTCAAGTCACTGAATCGTTTCGGATCGTATCGTTCTAAATGAACCAATATCGTCCTTGAATCGTATCGACAACCACGAATCGTGATACAAATCGAATCGTTGTTAAAACGAATCGTTACACCCCTACAAATTAATGTAACTTGTTTTTATACAGTCAGTGACGGAGCTTGCCATGACGTTTGCTCATCCTCCAAATCACACCAGTGGCAATGATGTAAATGAAGCTGACCGTTTTGAACTCGGGAGAGATGTGTCAAACAGATGTAGTGAAAATCCTCAGCCATCTATTAACCACCTACTCTAAAGACATGAAGAAGTATATCAACAACCTGGTCGAAACCACCTGATAAATATCTCCATTAACAGTGGGCAGTTTCCTGAGGCCTGGTAAAAGGCTCTAGTCACACCTATCTTCAAGTCAGGGGGACCCCCCGAAACTGCCAAGTAACTACAGACCAGTCAGTATGGGGTGGCAGGTAGCTTAGTGGGTAAGAGCATTGTGCCAGTAACCGAAAGGTCACTGGTTCTAATCCCCAAGCCGACTACGTGAAAAATCTGTCAATGTGCCCTTAAGCAAGGCACTTAACCCTAATTGCTCCTGTAAGTCGCTCTGGATAAGAGCGTCTGCTAAATGACTAAAATGTAAATGTATTCTGCCTGTCCTGTCCTATCTAAAGTGTTGGAGAAAGTCCTAGCAGAACTGCTCATGTCATATCTGGATGAGCATCAGTACTGGCACTGGGAACAATTTGGTTTCAGACCAAACTACTCCACTGAAACAGCAGACTGTCCTACTGAAGAAACGTCAAGAAATCATTGGATGATGGAAATGTGGTCGGAGCAGTCTTCCATGACCTGAAAAAGGCCTTTGACACAGTGAATCAAAGTGTACCGCTCTCCTAACTCCACAAGTTAAATTTCTCAGACAAAGCCATAAGCTGGTTTGGTTCATATTTGGAAAACTGTGCACAATGTGTGGTCATCAATATCACCAAATCTACATTTAAAAAAACAAAAATGGGACTTCCACAGGGTTCGATGCTTGGCCCAATTCTCTTTTCATTATACGTTAATGATCTACCAGAGACCTGCCCAAGTGCCGGCCTTCAAATGTATGCGGATGACACTGTTGTCTATGTGACTGGTAAAACCTGATGTCTCTTAAACAACTGACAGAACACATGGACTCAGTGGCCACCTGGTTGGACTTGTATTGTCTGACTCTGAATGCAAACAAAACGGTCTCAATCTATTTCTCAACAAAGAAGCTGCCAACGACAGAGTCACTCTCTGTCCTCATCAAAGGAGAGCCAAATGAACAAGTCACAGAGGTGAAATATCTGGGGATCATCCTGGATCCACAACTGAAATTTGCCAAACATGCTAAGAAGATCAGTAGAACTATCAAAGCAAGCCTCCACTGTTTCAGACTAATAAGACCTTGTCTGCCTCTAGACAGTGCCTTCTTATTCTTACACGCAGTGGTGTTCTCTCACATGTCCTGCTGTTTAACATCCTGGTCCCAGGCCAGCCAGACGGTGCTGACACCCTTAGAGTCACTGTTTAACCGTGCTCTGAAAATCCTGGACCAAAAGCACTTACGGTACCATCACTGTTGCATCCTGAAAAAGTACAATGTACTGAGCTTTGAACACTTCATCAGATTTGCTCATGTGAATCTTGTGTTTAAATGTCTCAATGGTCTTGCACCTGAATCCCTGACCAAACAAATGCAGAAGCTGCAATGGCCTGGAATGTCCACCAGGGGGTGCACCAGAGGAAACTACAGGGTCCCTCTATATAAAACTTCTATAGGCCAGTCCTCCTTCTACAGAGGAGCACATGCATGTCCCCTGTAACTCAGTTGGTAGAGCATGGCGCTTGCAACGCCAGGGTTGTGGGTTCGTTTCCCACGGGGGGCCAGTATGAAAATGTATGCACTCACTAACTGTAAGTCGCTCTGGATAAGAGCGTCTGCTAAATGACTAAAATGTAATGCATGGTACACTTTATCAGAAGAACATAAACTGCTGGAACATTTCAACACATTCAAAAGAAACACCAAAAACGGATTGTTATAGCTCTAACATTACAATCATGTATGAACTGCTCCCATTAAGACTGCTGGACTTCCCAGTTGTAAATATTAGGGGTATATACTGTAAGTATGGGCAGGAATACAGTGGACTGTTTTGTCTTTTCACATATCTGTATCGACACCAGGGGGCAGTGTTATCAAGGAAATTGAACATTTGTTAATATTACACAGAATGGCAATTCATTCCCTACTGAAGATGGGTGTAAATAGTAGAACCAGGTATGAACAAGGCTTTAGAGGCATCATCTAACAACAATAAAGAAACAGGTATGAACAAGGCTTTAGAGGCATCATCTAACAACAATAAAGAAACAGGTATGAACAAGGCTTTAGAGGCATCATCTAACAACAATAAAGAAACAGGTATGAACAAGGCTTTAGAGGCATCATCTAACAACAATAAAGAAACAGGTATAAACAAGGCTTTAGAGGGATAATCTAATGACAGTATAGAAACAGGTATGAACAAGGCTTTAGAGGGATCATCTAACAACAATAAAGAAACAGGTATGAACAAGGCTTTAGAGGCATCATCTAACAACAATAAAGAAACAGGTATGAACAAGGCTTTAGAGGCATCATCTAACAACAATAAAGAAACAGGTATGAACAAGGCTTTAGAGGCATCATCTAACAACAATAAAGAAACAGGTATGAACAAGGCTTTAGAGGCATCATCTAACAACAATAAAGAAACAGGTATGAACAAGGCTTTAGAGGCATCATCTAACAACAATAAAGAAACAGGTATGAACAAGGCTTTAGAGGCATCATCTAACAACAATAAATAAACAGGTATGAACAAGGCTTTAGAGGCATCATCTAACAACAATAAAGAAACAGGTATGAACAAGGCTTTAGAGGCATCATCTAACAACAATAAAGAAACGGGTATGAACAAGGCTTTAGAGGCATCATCTAACAACAATAAAGAAACAGGTATGAACAAGGCTTTAGAGGCATCATCTAACAACAATAAAGAAACAGGTATGAACAAGGCTTTAGAGGCATCATCTAACAACAATAAAGAAACAGATATAAACAAGGCTTTAGAGGGGTCATCTAACAACAATAAAGAAACAGGTATGAACAAGGCTTTAGAGGGATCATCTAATGACAGTATAGAAACAGGTATGAACAAGAATTTAGAGGCATCATCTAACAACAATACAGAAACAGGTATAAACAAGGCTTTAGAGGGGTCATCTAACAACAATAAAGAAACAGGTATGAACAAGGCTTTAGAGGGATCATCTAATGACAGTATAGAAACAGGTATGAACAAGGCTTTAGAGGGGTCATCTAACAACAATAAAGAAACAGGTATGAACAAGGCTTTAGAGGGATCATCTAACAACAATAAAGAAACAGGTATGAACAAGGCTTTAGAGGGATCATCTAATGACAGTATAGAAACAGGTATGAACAAGGCTTTAGAGGGATCATCTAATGACAGTATAGAAACAGGTATGAACAAGGCTTTAGAGGCATCATCTAACAACAATAAAGAAACAGGTATGAACAAGGCTTTAGAGGGATCATCTAATGACAGTATAGAAACAGTTATGAACAAGGCTTTAGAGGGATCATCTAATGACAGTATAGAAACAGGTATGAACAAGGCTTTAGAGGGATCATCTAATGACAGTATAGAAACAGGTCTAAACAAGGCTTTAGAGGCATCATCTAACAACAATAAAGAAACAGGTATGAACAAGGCTTTAGAGGCATCATCTAACAACAATAAAGAAACAGGTATGAACAAGGCTTTAGAGGCATCATCTAACAACAATAAAGAAACAGGTATGAACAAGGCTTTAGAGGCATCATCTAACAACAATAAAGAAACAGGTATGAACAAGGCTTTAGAGGCATCATCTAACAACAATAAAGAAACAGGTATAAACAAGGCTTTAGAGGGATAATCTAATGACAGTATAGAAACAGGTATGAACAAGGCTTTAGAGGGATCATCTAACAACAATAAAGAAACAGGTATGAACAAGGCTTTAGAGGCATCATCTAACAACAATAAAGAAACAGGTATGAACAAGGCTTTAGAGGCATCATCTAACAACAATAAAGAAACAGGTATGAACAAGGCTTTAGAGGCATCATCTAACAACAATAAAGAAACAGGTATGAACAAGGCTTTAGAGGCATCATCTAACAACAATAAAGAAACAGGTATGAACAAGGCTTTAGAGGCATCATCTAACAACAATAAAGAAACAGGTATGAACAAGGCTTTAGAGGCATCATCTAACAACAATAAATAAACAGGTATGAACAAGGCTTTAGAGGCATCATCTAACAACAATAAAGAAACAGGTATGAACAAGGCTTTAGAGGCATCATCTAACAACAATAAAGAAACAGGTATGAACAAGGCTTTAGAGGCATCATCTAACAACAATAAAGAAACAGGTATGAACAAGGCTTTAGAGGCATCATCTAACAACAATAAAGAAACAGGTATGAACAAGGCTTTAGAGGCATCATCTAACAACAATAAAGAAACAGATATAAACAAGGCTTTAGAGGGGTCATCTAACAACAATAAAGAAACAGGTATGAACAAGGCTTTAGAGGGATCATCTAATGACAGTATAGAAACAGGTATGAACAAGGCTTTAGAGGCATCATCTAACAACAATAAATAAACAGGTATGAACAAGGCTTTAGAGGCATCATCTAACAACAATAAAGAAACAGGTATGAACAAGGCTTTAGAGGCATCATCTAACAACAATAAAGAAACAGGTATGAACAAGGCTTTAGAGGCATCATCTAACAACAATAAAGAAACAGGTATGAACAAGGCTTTAGAGGCATCATCTAACAACAATAAAGAAACAGGTATGAACAAGGCTTTAGAGGCATCATCTAACAACAATAAAGAAACAGATATAAACAAGGCTTTAGAGGGGTCATCTAACAACAATAAAGAAACAGGTATGAACAAGGCTTTAGAGGGATCATCTAATGACAGTATAGAAACAGGTATGAACAAGGCTTTAGAGGCATCATCTAACAACAATACAGAAAAAAGTATAAACAAGGCTTTAGAGGGGTCATCTAACAACAATAAATAAACAGGTATGAACAAGGCTTTAGAGGGATCATCTAATGACAGTATAGAAACAGGTATGAACAAGGCTTTAGAGGGGTCATCTAACAACAATAAAGAAACAGGTATGAACAAGGCTTTAGAGGGATCATCTAACAACAATAAAGAAACAGGTATGAACAAGGCTTTAGAGGGATCATCTAATGACAGTATAGAAACAGGTATGAACAAGGCTTTAGAGGGATCATCTAATGACAGTATAGAAACAGGTATGAACAAGGCTTTAGAGGCATCATCTAACAACAATAAAGAAACAGGTATGAACAAGGCTTTAGAGGGATCATCTAATGACAGTATAGAAACAGGTATGAACAAGGCTTTAGAGGGATCATCTAATGACAGTATAGAAACAGGTATGAACAAGGCTTTAGAGGGATCATCTAATGACAGTATAGAAACAGGTATGAACAAGGCTTTAGAGGGATCATCTAATGACAGTATAGAAACAGGTCTAAACAAGGCTTTAGAGGCATCATCTAACAACAATAAAGAAACAGGTATGAACAAGGCTTTAGAGGCATCATCTAACAACAATAAAGAAACAGGTATGAACAAGGCTTTAGAGGCATCATCTAACAACAATAATGAAACAGGTATGAACAAGGCTTTAGAGGCATCATCTAACGACAATAAAGAAACAGGTATAAACAAGGCTTTAGAGGCATCATCTAACAACAATAAAGAAACAGGTATAAACAAGGCTTTAGAGGGATCATCTAATGACAGTATAGAAACAGGTATGAACAAGGCTTTAGAGGCATCATCTAACAACAATAAAGAAACAGGTATGAACAAGGCTTTAGAGGGATCATCTAATGACAGTATAGAAACAGGTATGAACAAGGCTTTAGAGGCATCATCTAACAACAATAAAGAAACAGGTATGAACAAGGCTTTAGAGGCATCATCTAACAACAATAAAGAAACAGGTATAAACACGGCTTTAGAGGGATCATCTAACAACAATAAAGAAACAGGTATGAACAAGGCTTTAGAGGGGATCATCTAATGACAGTATAGAAACAGGTATGAACAAGGCTTTAGAGGGGATCATCTGATGACAGTATAGAAACAGGTATAAACAAGGCTTCAGAGGGATTTTCTAATGACAGTATAGAAACACGTATAAACAAGTATAAAGGGTTCATCTAATTACAGTATAGAAACAGGTATAAACAAGGCTTTAAAGGGATCATCTAATGACAGTGTGGGCCTATATGATCCTGAGACCGTGGGTTTTTCCCAATAATCTCTCCTTCTTCTTGAAGTGTGCACTTATTCACTACTCCCCACAAATGTAAAATCATTGGATTGGCGTAGGCTTGAGGGAGTTTCCATATGCCAATCATTTTCTTTCAAACCCACAAAGGGAGTTGTACACGTCGTGGGAAAGGAGAATTACCAGACGTTACTGTTACTCTGTGGCCCTGAACACACAGATATTACCAGACGTTACTGTGACTCTGTGGCCCTGAACACACAGATATTAAAAAATGAAAACCATTATGCCAGGGCCTCTATGTTTGTGCACTTCTAAAAGGCTAGTATGTCCAGTATGTCTCTCAGTCATAAGGTATGCCGTAGACAAACTCAGCTCAGTATGTCCCTCAGTCATACGGTATGCCGTAGACAAACTCAGCTCAGTATGTCCCTCAGTCATACGGTATGCCGTAGACAAACTCAGCTCAGTATGTCCCTCAGTCATAAGGTATGCCGTAGACAAACTCAGCTCAGTATGTCCCTCAGACATACGGTATGCCGTAGGCAAACTCTGCTCAGTATGTCCCTCAGTCATACGGTATGCCGTAGACAAACTCAGCTCAGTATGTCCCTCAGACATACGGTATGCCGTAGACAAACTCAGCTCAGTATGTCTCTCAGTCATAAGGTATGCCGTAGACAAACTCAGCTCAGTATGTCCCTCAGACATACGGTATGCCGTAGGCAAACTCAGCTCAGTATGTCCCTCAGTCATACGGTATGCCGTAGACAAACTCAGCTCAGTATGTCCCTCAGACATACGGTATGCCGTAGACAAACTCAGCTCAGTATGTCTCTCAGTCATAAGGTATGCCGTAGACAAACTCAGCTCAGTATGTCCCTCAGTCATACGGTATGCCGTAGACAAACTCAGCTCAGTATGTCCCTCAGTCATACGGTATGCCGTAGGCAAACTCTGCTCAGTATGTCCCTCAGTCATACGGTATGCCGTAGACAAACTCAGCTCAGTATGTCCCTCAGACATACGGTATGCCGTAGACAAATTCAGCTCAGTATGTCCCTCAGTCATACGGTATGCTGTAGACAAACTCAGCTCAGTATGTCCCTCAGTCATACGGTATGCCGTAGACAAACTCAGCTCAGTATGTCCCTCAGACATACGGTATGCCGTAGACAAATTCAGCTCAGTATGTCCCTCAGTCATACGGTATGCCGTAGACAAATTCAGCTCAGTATGTCCCTCAGTCATACGGTATGCCGTAGACAAATTCAGCTCAGTATGTCCCTCAGTCATACGGTATGCCGTAGACAAACTCAGCTCAGTATGTCCCTCAGTCATACGGTATGCCGTAGACAAACTCAGCTCAATCTACTATTCTCTCTGAAGTCAGTGAGACATTACTGCAGTCTTATTCGGGAACTAGAGTTGCCTAATATTCCATAGCTCTAAGGCTCTCTCCACTGATCAGTGATGCAGGGAAGAGGGGAGGTCCCAGGGGTGTGGTCTGGTCTGCATGGGTGGTGATTGGATAGAAGAGTACATGGTAGGGGTGTGGTCTAGTATGCATGGGTGGTGGCTGGATGGATGAGTACATGGTAGGGGTGTGGTCTAGATTGCATGGGTGGTGGATGGATGGATGAGGACATGGAAGGGGTGTGGTCTAGTCTGCATGGGTGGATGATGGATGGATGAGTACATGAAGGGGTGTGGTCTAGTCTGCATGGGTGGATGATGGATGGATGAGTACATGGAAGGGGTGTGGTCTGGTCTGCATGGGTGGTGGGTGGATGGATGAGTACATACTAGGGGTGTGGTCTGGTCTGCATGGGTGGTGGGTGGATGGATGAGTACATGGAAGGGGTGTGGTCTAGTCTGCATGGGTGGTGGGTGGATGGATGAGTACATACTAGGGGTGTGGTCTAGTCTGCATGGGTGGTGGGTGGATGGATGAGTACATGGAAGGGGTGTGGTCTAGTCTGCATGGGTGGTGGGTGGATGGATGAGTACATACTAGGGGTGTGGTCTAGTCTGCATGGGTGGTGGGTGGATGGATGAGTAAATACTAGGGGTGTGGTCTGGTCTGAATGGGTGGTGGGTGGATGGATGAGTACATACTAGGGGTGTGGTCTGGTCTGCATGGGTGGTGGGTGGATGGATGAGTACATACTAGGGGTGTGGTCTGGTCTGCATGGGTGGTGAGTGGATGGATAAGTACATACTAGGGGTGTGGTCTGGTCTGCAAGGGTGGTGGGTGGATGGATGAGTACATACTAGGGGTGTGGTCTGGTCTGCATGGGTGGTGGGTGGATGGATGAGTACATACTAGGGGTGTGGTCTGGTCTGCATGGGTGGTGGGTGGATGGATGAGTAAATACTAGGGGTGTGGTCTGGTCTGCATGGGTGGTGGGTGGATGGATGAGTACATACTAGGGATGTGGTCTGGTCTGAATGGATGGATGAGTACATACTAGGGGTGTGGTCTGGTCTGAATGGATGGATGAGTACATACTAGGGGTGTGGTCTGGTCTGAATGGATGGATGAGTACATACTAGGGGTGTGGTCTGGTCTGAATGGATGGATGAGTACATACTAGGGGTGTGGTCTGGTCTGAATGGATGGATGAGTACATGGTAGGGGTGTGGTCTGGTCTGAATGGATGGACGAGTACATGGTAGGGGTGTGGTCTGGTCTGCATGGGTGGTGGGTGGATGGATGAGTACATACTAGGGGTGTGGTCTGGTCTGAATGGATGGATGAGTACATACTAGGGGTGTGGTCTGGTCTGAATGGGTGGATGAGTACATACTAGGGGTGTGGTCTGGTCTGCATGGGTGGATGAGTACATACTAGGGGTGTGGTCTGGTCTGCATGGGTGGATGAGTACATACTAGGGGTGTGGTCTGGTCTGCATGGGTGGATGAGTACATACTAGGGGTGTGGTCTGGTCTGAATGGTTGGATGAGTACATACTAGGGGTGTGGTCTGGTCTGCATGGGTGGATGAGTACATACTAGGGGTGTGGTCTGGTCTGCATGGGTGGATGAGTACATACTAGGGGTGTGGTCTGGTCTGCATGGGTGGATGAGTACATACTAGGGTGTGGTCTGGTCTGCATGGGTGGATGAGTACATACGAGGGGTGTGGTCTGGTCTGAATGGGTGGATGAGTACATACTAGGGGTGTGGTCTGGTCTGCATGGGTGGATGAGTACATACTAGGGGTGTGGTCTGGTCTGCATGGGTGGATGAGTACATACTAGGGGTGTGGTCTGGTCTGCATGGGTGGATGAGTACATACTAGGGGTGTGGTCTGGTCTGCATGGGTGGA